CTTTACCATTGATTGACCAGGAGAACAGCATGTAGTTCAATACACATATCCAAATTAATTGTGGACAGGTTTGTAACCAGAATTTTTGAGCTGGGGGGGGCTGAATATAATTAGTGTGGCCATTATGGTTAAATTAAAAGCAGGCAAGGCATGTTGCTTGTAAATGTGGTATTAAACAGGCTCCACATTCTCCACAAAGATACACATGCAAGGTGGAGTGAGCACAGTTTGGTGAAGTGAGGATAGTGACCAGTTTGTCCCTGTTTTTTGAATGGGGATACTTAAGAGATGTTGCAGTGGGGGTGGGGCAGGCCCCCATCAAGATAATGGGATAGATTCCAGAAATAAGTTAATGCCATGGTTGTAGTCTCCATCCCATTGAAGTAAATTACACAAGATCAAAGTTGCACTCCATGGGGAAAATTGTTTAAATAAAACTCACTGAGTCAGAGTTGTAAAAAGCATGGCGCCTGTAGGTTGCATGCATGAGGAATGGTCATGTGACTGGGCTCTTTGAAATATGTTGAGTACTAAAAATAAGTTATTAACTTCTGCAAGTTACCCTTGGGGACAACAGCTCAGAAAAGATCAGAACTGGTCTCAAAATCCTCATGCCTGTTTCCAAGACGCTTGGCAAGCTTCACAATTGCTCTAGAGATTTCTACAAAAATATATGTTAAAAAAATCAACATTACCATTCTACAGAATTTGTGTATATTTCTTTAGAACCTTTTGCTATTTATTTGTTTTTTTAAAAAGTCAACTTCTATTTTAAAAAGCCCATCCCAAAGGTATTCAAAATTCTGTGAAGATTATTGCACACATTGTAGTACTGTAATTGGATTTTCAAAAGGGCAACTAGAAAATATTTGTATCACAAAATAGTTTACATGCATTTTTCCTGACTGCGTTAGCTTACAGTAAGTTTTGTATTGATCTCTTTATTGAATATGATCCTAGGAAGCAAACCCTTTGATTTACAGATATTCAAACAATGCTTCTGAATGAGAAAATCCCCAAGCACTAAAAACAGAACATTACGGGGCGGGGGGGGGGGAGGCAATTTGTTACAGTTTCTGCTATTTCAGTTCAGATTACATTTTGCACCACAATTTAATCCTAAAATATTGCACACTGCATTACCCAGATATTGTAGACATTGCACATTGGATTACAGCCAGATAAAAACTGTACATTTCTATTATGGATACCACCACTGGGTTGACATACCTTGCCACTTCTTTCTTATCAGAAAGCCCTGTGCAGATTTTTAAGGCTATGCAGAGTCAGTAGCAGATCATAAAGATTTGTTGCCTGCTTTGTTTCAGTTGTCTGTGCACTGCATTGGTTTGTCATGATAATATTGTAGTATATGTGAAGCCCAATGTATGTAGGCCCAGTCATGTGATCTATACATCAACGGTGGGGAATCTTTAGCCTCTCTGTAGTTCCCACTCTCTGCATGGTCAATAGTGTGGGCACTGTTTTTCATACTCTCTGATGAGCTAGAGGTTCTCTGCCCTCTGCTGCACATTTGGTTGTGTGATGAACACATTCTTAGGCTGGAATCAGCATGCGCTGGTCTCTCTCTCTCTCTCTCCAGAAACATGATGGATAACTGGACAGATGTAAAGAGCAGGTGGCATGTTTTGGGGAAAGGGGAGGAATAAGGGAATACAATTCAGAATCCAATGCCCCCCGGTGAACCTCGATTATCTGCAAAGGGCTTTGTTACATGGGTAATATCACCTGGAATTCAAAACCAAAATGGAAGGATTGACAACTTTTATTATTGTTCCATTACATATAACCCAAGGAAAGTTAAAACAACAGGTTTCTAAGAATTGTATGAATTGGTGGTGTGTCAATATAGTTACCAGGTCAGAAAAGCCACTGCTTTCCATTGATGAACCTCTTGAATTCAAATTCCTGTTTCCGTGCATCAGAGTCATAAAAGCATTAGGATATTTAAAACATTAAAAAAGAAGGCATAGTATTGAAATAAGATTTCATTATCGTGGAGGGCAACAGAGATATAGCACAGTTTCTCCTACTTCACTGTGACTTAACCTGATGGCAACATCCACCCCAAAGTGTCTTCAGAGACGTAAATCCTTCAATTCAGTGCCAACCTTGGCTTGAATGTTTAATTCAGTTCCATGTGTCACTTAAATGGGAGACTATATGAGTGAATAACAGAGAATTTCTGTTAGGCTTAATAGATTAATGCTGTGTATCATGACTGCAGTCCTAAATACATTTACATGGAGGCCAGATAAGCTGAAATCAATGGACCTATTTTAGCAAAAATATAGGCATGTTGTGGAAAGCAGCCAGCTTACAAGAAAAGCAATGCTAAGCCCTGTTGCACCAGTCAGTAAATGTTTGGCCACTGCACAAGCACCTACTAACTATCTCAAGTCAGGCCTTGGGATCTCTGGACGTGCAGGGTACATCAGCACCTTATTTGTTTCAGGAGTGGCCCTCTATTCCCTGATTAATGGGTTACGGAAGGGAAGTGCCAAAGGAAGAGGAGGTACCTAGCCTGGGCTATACGTTTTGTTCTCTTTGTATAACTGGGTGAGTGCACAAAGGGAATGATGGCAGAAGTAGGGCAACATATTCAGGTCTCATAAGAAAGTCTAGACATTCTCTTCAATTTCCCCCCCTCACTGGTCAAAGCAGTGTGGAGGATGAGCCTGCATGGCTAGTGGCATAACATCAGTTGCCAGCACCCAGGGCAAGGCAGGTATTGCACCCCCTGGAGGTCTCCTTGGGAAGTGGCAGGAGAGGGGGGGCTCAGCGCTGGCAGAGCCCTTTTCCCTACACCAGCCCCTCCACACGGCCCACCTGCTCCCCTTGTTTAAGCTGGGGGAGGAAGGCCAGGGTGCTCCGGGCTGTCCTTTGCCCTCAGGGCCACCCTCTCCAAGGAGGCAGGTCCACTTGGCTGTCACCAAACTCTGCCGCCACCACCACTGCCTGCCCGGAAAGGGGGAATAGAGTGAGCGAGGCAGCTGGAGCCAGAAGAGGGGAGGGGGGGTGCAAGGCTCATGTACTTTCTTGTCTGCTGTGCACTCCACCTCACTTCCTGGCTCCTTGGCAGGGCTGAAATTTTGTACCCCTAAGCATTTTGCATCCAGGGCAACCACCCCTGTGACCTCGCCCATGCTACGCCACTGCTCATGGCATGCTGCCTGGAGTGTTAAGATAGGACGCAGAAGTGCTGGATTCACTTCCTCACATATATTTGGGCAACCTTGGATGGAGTGTTCTGCTGCTTACTAACCTACTTTACAGGGCTGATGTGAGGGCTGGATGCCAGCCAGAACTCCCCAGTGCACAGCCAGGACGCAAATGGTCGTAAAGGAGGAATTAGACGGGGATGCCGTTTTCTGAACTTGGACAGGCTAAAGCTGTAAAGACACAATCCAGAAAGCTGGATTGTTGTCATGATGTTGTTCATTTCATTGTGGCATCTGTGGAGGTCAAATGTTTACTCTTAGTGCTTACATTTTTTGGCAAAGAGATGGTGCAGCTTCAAGTCCTTTGGGGAGGGGGGCGGACGAACGTAACACCTTTTCATGAGGAACCCGTTTCCCTGATATGGGATTCTCTCTCATTATTTACTTTTGTAAAGTAACTTTCCAAGCTTAAGATTGCCTAAGAAAATCCTTCCATTATTGCACAACCTGGAGCATTTCCCTGAAATTTTCGGTATTTCCTTCCCCCTTTTCCTTTGCAAATCTCAAATAGGCCTTACTATATGACTGTCTTTGCCAATCTGGTGCCAGCTAGAGATGATGGTGCTTGTATTTTGACACATTTGGAGAGCATCAGGTTTGGAAAGATTGCTATGGCTTGAACAGCAACCTGACACACACATATTAGTGGCTAGCTAGTTTGCTAATGCAAACATCACAAAGCGGTAGGAAACACGAGACTTTGCTAAGGTTGTAGGCACCTTAAGTCACTAATTGGGATCTTTAGCTGTTTTCCCAGAAGCCCATTCCACTGAAATAAATTATTCTGCATAAATGTGTTTAGGATTGCAGTATCAAAACGTATGAATTTATTCTTATACTGTTCTAGCTAAACCATGAGTGCAATGAACAAAAATAAGCGCAAAGGATATCCAGGGAATGAACTTGCTATTTGGGGCAGTTTTGGATGAACTCAGATGAAGAGGTGGTGTGGCATGTTGGCAAACAACCAGGGAGGTGGAGCAGGGCAGGGAATGCATAACTGCCACTAGGCACTGGCCGGTGAGTGGTACTCATTTCCTTGGGACATGCGGTGATGGGATGCAGACTATTTGTGCAAATGTCAGCTGCTCTATTACAGGGTCCCATTTTTGCCCTAGAAAAGGGAGTGGGATGATGCTGGGCAAAACACATGTGATTGCTCTGTTGGGTTACCAGGTAACATTGGAAGCCTGAAGCATTAAAACCATTTCTCCTTCCCCCAGGTCACATTCACTGCGTGTAGGAGGAATAATAGGAAGAAGAGAATGGCCCTTATTCATGCTTGGCAAGGTTTTAGGGAGCTCTACAGGAAATGGCAGCAAAAGCTGGCACAGAAGACATTTTTGTGTATTGCCAAGAGACAGGTAAATTTGTATACAACATACATTTTTGAAAAGTCTGTCTGCTTACTCTGTATGTTCTTCTGTCTGTGCACTTGCTTTTGCTTTTAAATCATCATAAAAATCATTTTTGGATTTTTTTATTACTATTATTATAATTATTTTAAAAATACCATTACAGTTGTAAAAATATCCAAATGGCTATTTTCTACAGAAAATAGGTGATGGGTTGGTGAATGGTGTACATTATAATTGCAAATAGCCTTGTTTCTTATTGACCAGGGGGACACATTTTCTCTGTAATGCACTAATGGCTACATCTTGTGCTTTGCAAAACAAAAACAAAACAAAAAAAGGGAGCAGATTAAATATGTTTCTTTTTTTAAAAAGGTTAAAATAGTCATTTTTTTTTTAAAAAAAAAGCCCATCATAGTCTCAGGAATATTCTGAGATACATAAAACAGAAGAAAAGAAACCAGTTTTTTAAAGCCACAAAATGTACTACTTCCTGCAATGCTAGGTTCAATTAATTTAATAAAATAGAATATACATTATAGACTCTGAACAATGTATTGCTTTTACCCAAGCAGAACTTATGCTTAAGTAAGCGTGATATAGCTTCACTACTCCTTCAACCAGCTAGCTCTTTAAACTTTCTTTGGATTTTCTTTTTTTTAAAAAAAAATCAGTGCCGGTTTAGAATAGAGAGGTTTAATTTATTACATGAGGGAGAAAAGAAATGTTTGGCACCAATAACGAAATAAAATAAAACAAAATAATAATAATAATAATAAAAAAATAAAACTCAAGGGTCCGTGTCTGTCTGATCAAAGGAGAAACTAGGGGGCATCAACAAGTCTTTCTTTGGGGCCGGAGAGACGGACATACTGTCTGGAAGGGCCGAGTCCCCTGCGTCCATCGAATCCTTGGAATCCCAGGAGGGAGCCCGTCTTCTCAAGCAGACGTCTGCTGTGGGGGCGGGGGATGCAGTGCGGGATCCCCTCAGGAACAATCGCTGTTCATCGGGTGGCTCTATGGATATACAAGGGGGGCTCAGTTTTTTCTTCGGCCGCGTCCCCGGCAAGCCTTCCATTTCACTTAAGACCTGACTGAGGAAGCCAGAAGAGCTAGAAGTGGTGGAATGATGCTGAGGACTGTTTTCCATGGAACAAATTTCTATGGAATGTCTCCTTTGATCATCTAACCAAGATGACGGTTTTTTAAGAAGACCCTGCGTATCTACGCTGTAGCACTTCTTCAGGTCTTTCAAAGTCACATTGCCACTGTTGCCCAAATTTCTCTTAGGGGTCTCAGGTTGAACCACGGAAGAGGCACTCATGGCTGAACAAGTTCCTGAAGTAAAAGAGCTGTTTATTTCTGATACTTCTTGGTCCATCGGGTCTCCAGGTAGTTCTTGAAGCGAATCTGTACAGGCACATAAATCTGGAACGTGCTTGGAAATATTATACTGGTTGCAGGAATGTTGTTGCGTGCGAACGCTTGATCGCCTCCAGCTGGCTGCCTCGTTGGCTTCTGAGGGCATCAGATCCTCACTGAAGGGAGCTGACAAATTTGGATCAGAGAGTTCACTCACCTCGACACGGATGTTCTCTCTGCTTTCTGAGCTAGGGGTGTCCAGGGAGTCATTTCGTATTGCCATCTGTATGGATTTCCAAGGGATTAAGAGGGGAACAGAGAACAACAGACATAGCAGAAAATTAGTACAGCCTAGGCGCATAAGAGAAACCTCAAAGGTAAGAAAGGAACCTTTAGCTTCGAGTGCCAAAGAACCTCGTTCCTATGAACACCAGAGGCAATTGTGGATGTTCAATTAAGTCCTGAATGATACTACACAAATTGCATGTTGTTAGAAGTATGAATGTGCTCAAAGACTTTCCTAGCATAAGCTTTCTTACCTCTAGCATCATGCAAATAAGCTTGCTTGGTATTTGAGAGGTAAACATAGGCTTTGTTTGTAAGTCTAATTGCTTCAGCACAAAGCTCTGTGGAATCGCTATCAACTCCTAAAGACATCTGTATTATCTGAGCTTCTTTTTGGTCTCTCTCTCTCTCTTACGCAGTGTCACTGCTGCCACTGCATGCAGTCCATAAATATTTTGTACACTTCTAACTGTTATGACTCCAAACCACTGCATGCAGTGTCACTGCTGCCACACGGTCTAATGCGTGCATGCAGTCCATATATATTTTGTACTCCTCTAACTGTTATGACTCCAAACCACTGCATTCTTGTGCAGAATATAGTTTATATGATACACATACATACATACATACACACACGCGCACGCGCACGCGCGCGCGCACACACACATGTATTGTATATATGTGTGTGTGTGTGTGTGTGTGTGTGTGTGTGTGTTTATATATCATAATCCAAATGTCAAATAAGGAAGAATGTGTTGCAAAATGTGGTAAACAGATACAGCTAGATTTGGTTAGAAAATTAGCATTATGGCACTGTGCCACATTGAATTTCAACAAGGCATATCGTATAGCGCTCAATGCACTCTGGCCCTTTAAGCCTTTACTGCTACACCTGTACCCAATTCTGTCCTGAACCTTCTTTTTCTTTTAAATTGCAGTCCCCGTGCTAGGAAATCTTTGACAGAGAAGGCTGCTATGCTGGCTGGTTTTGGTAAGAGATGCCAGATAAGGAGAGGCATTTTTTTTTCTTTTCTTTCTTTCTTTTTCTTTTTTTTGCAGTTGTTTTTACCAAAGAGGCATTCAAGAGAAAATTGGACAACCATCTGTCAGATCTGCTTTGATTTGGATTCTTCCAATGGCCTTGCAGTTTCCTTCCAACTCAGTTATTCTATGATTCTATGATTACAGAAGCTACATCTTTTATTTAAAAGTTTTACATTTTTGCAACATTACTGACAATGAGATAAAAGTCAGTCTTTGCTCTGGATCTGCGAACAAACCAGCAAAAACACGTTGTTACAAAATCAAGAGGTGATTGCCTTGTTTCCTTCATTGTGAGCAGTGTTTATGTTTGATATAAACAGCTTCTTATTTTAAGGGGAAAAATAAGGCAAGGGGAAGTTTACCTTTTTGGGCTAGTGATGGGTGGTTAGAGATCTTTGGGATGGGCAGGAGGACCTTTTTAATGGCCCTGTACCAGCCTTCAGCATTAGAAGCTGCTGCCTATCTTTTGTGCAACAGCCATTTTAAAGGTACAGGAGTGTGGCCTTACTGTGTGGTGGGGAAAGAATATCATATGGTTCAAGTGCGGTCTTGCACTGCAGCTCATGTTCTATTATGGGCATGGACACACAGTGATGTGGACAAGTGAGGTGGACTTTCATACCACAAGTTGGCAGGCAGCTTGTAGCATTCATGTTTATTTTTCAAAAGTGAAGTAATAGGTAACTACTTTTGAGAAACAGGAAGGTAAATAGTTGCTTGTAGAAAAGTATAATGTAACTATTGTTTTAGACCTCAGAATGGCAATTATAATTGATTAAACTCTGATTTTAATATGCAGAACATTTCATGGTACACATGATTACTTTTCTTGTTATACTGTCAGACATCTAATTGCTAGTAAGAATTCAATTTCAGAAACTGATTGCTTATTAAAAACATTCAATTCCTCTGCTGAAAAAGAACAACTGCTCTGTTGATGCCCATTGAGTATTTTAACAGCTGCAGAATGGAATGTTTTACACCTTTGTTTTACAGTTTTGGCCTAGGAACCAAAGAATCAATGCAGCATTCTTCTGAAAACAAGGGCTCTTACAATGCACTGGCAGTAAGCATGTTCCTCAAAAGAGAAAAAGGCTTTATTATTCCTCAAATGCATTTTATGGCCTAATCTCCCCCTGAGAATTAGCCACTACTGGTCAGGCCTTCCAAGGCCTGACAGGTAGTGGCTGGGGGGGACTCATTAATTGTGGGTTAGAAGATTTTAGACATAGTAACGGGCTTGGTCTATTGTTCAGCAGTGAGAAATGGAAAGGAGGCTGAACAACAAGGGAGTCAATGACTAAGGAATGTCCATGGGCCAGGTCTGTGGTAAGCCAGATTTAACTACTGTGCACCGGGACAGAGGACAGAAGAGGAGAGGAAAGAGAAAATAAAATAAACGTAATAAAGAGAGCACTAACCACTGCATGTACAAATATCTTGTGGCCAATGTTTTCATGGCTGAAATCCTGTTGCTCTGTTATACAGTGGAAGGCAAGAGGCATTAACATCCACTCATTTCTAGTTGGCAATTAATGAGCTGCCACTACAATTATTGGGGCATATGCATACACTGGCTTGGCAAGCACTCAAGAATCCTGGTGGGGACTCAATAATTGTGAGCTAGAAGAAAATGAATTTGCCTTCTGCTTGTGTATCAAAGTAACAGGATTTCATCCAGTAATTGGAGGATGTGGAAGAAGTCTCCCTGAAAAATATGCGAGGGCTGTGAATACAGTTGGGCATCCCCTGGGCAGTTGATTCCCTCCACTCTGGAAGTACAATTGGATTGCTTCTGGCATAAACACAGAAGAAACCAAACTGTTGGAAAATAAAAATACCAATAGCTATTAATTGAGAATGATGAGATTTATCCAGGAGAGCTGTTTCAGGGCAATGTTCCTTAAAATGTCACACTTGGGTATATTCAGATTTACCAAAAAAAAGTATATTTTGTTTTGTGGATTTTGTACTTTTGGCATAAATGTCCATTGAATAGTTCCTTACAATACTTGCTATAACAGAGATGCGGAGTATGCAGTTCTCCAGCTGCATTAGATTGCAACTTCCATCCTTGCTTCCCATGGCTATGATGCCTGAGGCTGATGGAAGCTGCAGTCCAGTAGCAGCTGAAAGGCTACATATTTCCTGTACTGGCATAGAAGAAGTGAGCTGACCAGCAGCAGAGATATTCTTGGGGGGCATTCACCACAGTCTGCAACATGGTGAGAATGGTGCTGCTTAAACTATGTGTTCTTGCTGGTGATATACTGGATTGCTGCAAGTAACAGAAGAAAAGCACAAACATGGCAAAGCCTTCTTGGGGAAAAAAGGACATATATCATGATGGGTATGCTACTCATTATCCATATTAGTTTTGTCTTTTACTGCTGTCTGGGCTGGCAGTAGCAGCCACTATTGGAAAGGGGCTAAGAAAAGAGGCCAAGCACTTGAGCCAGTCACAAAATGTACTTTTACAAGCTACAGAGTAGCATGCTCAGATTTGTTTTACATAGAATGATGAAAACAGGTATTTTTAATTTCCTCTTTTGTGGGCTCATAACGCTACTGTTTCAATAACAGGTGAGGAGATGCAAGGAGCCCACAGGCTAAACAAATTAACAGAATGAATATGAATGTATGCACACGCACGGAAACCACACAGAGACTGATTTTTTTTAAGTCCAAAGGAACAGTTTTCCTAAGATTTATGCTTTCTCCAAAATCCATGAATGTATGCACATGCATGGAAACCACACAGAGACTGATTTTTTTTTTAAAAAGTGCAAAGGAACAGGTTTCCTAAGATTTATGCTTTCTCCAAAATCACTCAGCGCAATAGCATCCTAGCCAAACAAGAGACTTTGTTTAAAGCACGAGGCATGGGTTTTCTGTACGTTCACAAAAGAACTTAAATAATGCTTTGGGGTCCACAGCAACCTCTGGCAACTCAAGGCCTCAAAGTCTCATTGAGTTTTCTCACTTCTCCAAAAAGGAATTGACCAAGATAAGAACAAAATTCTGGCCTAGAAGGTAGGCTGGGAGGAGGAGGATCATTATGTTAAGATTTCACATTCAGGAGCTTCAGTTCAATCCTGTGAAATAGCAGATCTTCCTGTGAGAGCTCACATACCACATGGAAAGGCCATGGCAGTGTCTCAAAAGCACCAGGGATCTAGTTCAATCCTAACTGTGGCCAAGGAATTGAACTAGCCCGGCCTTCTGTAAGCTACAGCCCAATCTGAAATCTTCAGAGACTTTAGCTCTGCTCAGGCATTATTGTTGTTGTTGTTGTGTAGTCATTAAGTAGTGTCCGACTCTTCGTGACCCCACGGACCAGAGCACGCCAGGCCCTCCTGTCTTCCACTGCCTCCCGGAGTTGGGTCAAATTCATGTTGGTTGCTTCGATGACACTCTCCAACCATCTCATCCTCTGTTGTCCCCTTCTCCTCTTGCCCTAACACTTTCCTAACATCAAGGTCTTTTCCAAGGAGTCCTCTCTTTTCATGAGATGGCCAAAGTATTGGAGCCTCAGCTTCAGGATCTGTCCTTCCAGTGAGCACTCAGGGTTGCTTTCCTTTAGAATGGATAGGTTTGTTCTCCTTGCAGTCCATCTTCCTGTGAGAGCTCACTTACCACATGGAAAGGCCATGGCAGTGTTTCAAAAGCACCAGGGATCTAGTTCAATCCTAACTGTGGCCAAGGAATTGAACTAGCCCGGCCTTCTGTAAGCTACAGCCCAATCTGAAATCTTCAGAGACTTTAGCTCTGCTCAGGCATTATTGTTGTTGTTGTTGTGTAGTCATTAAGTAGTGTCCGACTCTTCGTGACCCCACGGACCAGAGCACGCCAGGCCCTCCTGTCTTCCACTGCCTCCCGGAGTTTGGTCAACTGCTCAGGCATTAGGAGTAGGTAAATAAACATACAGGAAATGGGAATGCTCTTGCCCTCTTCCTCTCTGCAGTTGCTTCTATTGCTTTTGTCATAAAAAACAAAAATAGCTATGTGTAGGGACTCTCCACATGATCTGCAATTGGAAAAACCATCAGTGTTCTAGACCAGTGGTTCTTAACCTTGAGTACTCGGATGTTTTTGAACTGCAACTCCCAGAAACCCCAGCCAGCACAGTTGGTGGTGAAGGAAAATAGCTATGTGTAGGGACTCTCCACATGATCTGCAATTGGAAAAAAATCAGTGTTCTAGACCATATAGACTAATGGAAACAGAAGGCTCACCTCTTTGAAAGTAATTATTCAGATGAGAACAGAAGGGGTGGGCCTATACCACTTCCTTGCCTCATACTATTCTCCTATTTCCCATCATTACAGAACAGGGGAAGTGAAGTAGTAATGGCTCCTTGTCCAGCCCAAAAAAGTGACTCCAGTGAGGTACCTAGCATTGGACAAGTTGCCCCTCAAGCTATAAAGTGAGAATTTTCAGGAGACATTTTTGAAAAGTAACAATTTTAGGATAACACACTGCCCCAGCAGCTTTACAACCTCCTTCTTTACAGGGGCTCCAGATTAATTGGATAACTAAGACACCTCCACTTGGAAGATTTCTGAGGCTCATGTTTTATGTGTAAGACACATAAGAATATCTATGAACAAGATACCACAGTTCATGACAAGGTTTCTTGCTCTAATGTGGCACCTTTTTCTACGTGGATCACCGTACCCTTGCATGGTCCAGAACATTGCTCACTGACCATGGGTACAAGATTTTTTGAGCGGGGGGGAGAATGCATTTAGGTGCCCTAAAAATGAAATGAGAAGAAGCTATTTTCAGCACCCACATGTTTGAAATGCTTCCCCAAATCCCTCTTTAATAAGCTTAATGCCATATATCATATCTTAGACTGGCATATAAAAATGCTCAATTCTCAGCAACTGGTTTTGATGGCCAAGAAAAGAAGGTAAGGTAGGTAATATGATCACTTATCCTTGTCGTATTGATGGAAAAGGACTGTACTCTTATTCTTTGGCTGTCAAGGAGCACGTTCATGGGCTAGAACCATGAAATCAATTAGCTTACCTGTTAGTGTACACTAAGTTGGCAGGCTAGCTCAAGCACTGGCCTAATACGCTTTACAAATTTAGCCTGTCAGGTTAATATGCTAGATTAATGTAAGCTGCTCACCTTGGAGCTTCATACCTGTGTGTAGGGGCTCAAAAATGTAACTGCCTTATTTTGGTATTGTGAAAAAGGAAAGTAATGACCTGAATAAATTTGGGTTAGTAAGTCATCACTTGCATGATATGCTCTTTTAGCAAAATGAAAAATTGTGACTTTGCACTTTGTATTAATCTAATCAATCTAAAGGTTGAGCCACACTGGAGTTTTTTAAAACTGTAGACAAAAGTTTAAAAATTCTAAAGTCACTTCTAGTGAATAATATGTTTTGGGCACTGAACTTAAATCTCACATGTTATTTAAAAAATCATGAATAAGAACAGAAGAAACACAGTTTGAAAATAGGTATTCCACTGATGTGATATAGTCATATAGGCAGCTATTCTATAGGGGTTGCTTGTGATTCAGTGAGATGATCAGGAGTATCCTATGATCAGTTGACTAATTAAAGGACCAGACATCTAACCTTTCACTGTGGCCAGCAGGCAATCCAGGTCAAGGGATAGAAAAAGGAAATTCCTCCCCTCTTTTGTCAAGGAAAGTATATTCCCCCTGACCCATGAACATGGAAATAATTCATTGATTTTAATTTCTTAAGATGTAACCCATGCATTTTTGGCTTATCAGGGGCATAATGGCAATAATTTTACATTTTACCCAATGTAATGCTTTCAATCTAGTCTTACATTATTAATTACCACTATGCTATCTGGCTAAGTGGACACCAGTTGGGCTAGTTCTCTTTTGCAGTTAAGGGTTATTTGGCATAGTAATTCCTCTGGTAATTAAAAGTGTGTTGAGAGATGATGGATTGACTGATTCCAATGCACGATTGAAAAAAAAATCAATTGGCAGTCAAGACAGAAAAGTTATACAGTAAGTAAAAGACCATCTGCTTACTACAGAATAAAATGCTGCCCCTCAATTAATTATTTTCAATACAGTAGCTGTACAGTGATATATTTTAATTTAGAGGAAAATTGTACTAGCCTGTTACTTAAAAAAACACCTATGTGAAAGTGCAGCACAGTAAGAGAAGAATTGCATGTGTTTCCACAAGTGTGGAAATCTGCCTCCAAATGTTACACTGTTTGCATTATACTGGAACAATTAGGCAAAAGGTTTTGGACATTAAATCTAAATCTTTCTCATCTGATTATTAGTGCAGAATAAAATGATGCCTCTTATTTATATTTTTAAAAAGACTTCCCATTATCAAATGACTATGGGTGATCTATATAGTGAATAATTATGGAGCAAAATTATAGTGCCAGTGAGTGAAAGGAAGAGGAAAAAGAGTGATGTGGATCAGTGACAATATATAATGGGAAAGTTTGTAAGAGGACAGGTTCCAGATATATTGGATGCATAGTTCTAAGTCGACAACTGTATAATTGGATTTGTAGTCCCTCTGGGGGGAAAAGTGCCATAATGGAGGTGGCAAATTTCAATAACAAAAAGAACAGTTTCAAAGGAGATAGTAAAAAATGTGTCACTAAGGTCCAAGGTGACGATCTACCTATCATTCTCAGTAAATCTACCACTAACTATATAATTAAAACTAAGTCAACAAATGAAACACCATTTCATTATCCAGTGTTAACAATATCAAATTAATCCCCAGTATTTAATGTTTCACATGAACAAATTTTCCAGCCTAACATTCTAGCTCTGCCTCCTCCCCAAGTTCACTTTGGGGTTGCCGAACCCATGCTAGCTAAAGCAGCCATTTGGATTTACTAAAGAGTCAGCACATGCTAAAGTGCTATCACACACAGCCCGCACAGCTCTCTAAACTGGACTCATTGACACTGCGACACCTGAGCGACTTGCAGTTGAGCGTACCTGTCTGCGAAGTAACCGCTCTGCAGAAGGCGAATGCACAGCTGGAAGGACTTTAGATTTGTTTTCCCAGTCCATGTTGTATTGGGGCTTCAGGTGGTGGAAGGGATCTCTTGGAATTTGTAGGAGAGCATTGATATTTGCAGGCTGAGACTGCACAGAGGTTGTGGAGCCTGAGGAGAAAAGGAAAGGAGACTAGAAGCTTAAACTATCCCATGTTTAAATTCCTATGTCAGATTCCAGTGAAACGGCATTTTGTTTCCCCTCTAAAGATGGATGTTGGCCAAGTCTTTGGGTCTGAGTCCCAAATCCAAGTCAGAATCTTTGGTACCAAGTCCTGAGTCCCAAGGCCCAAGTCGGAGTCTCTATTCAAAACAAATCCCACCCACCCCAGAAAAAAAGGGAAGGGGTGGGTGGATTCTGAGCCACAAGTCGAGTCTCTGATGCAACCTAAGTCCAACTAAATACAGTAGCGGGTCCCATGGCTTGAGTCCTCATCCTGGCTCTAAAGCACTTCAGCTCCATGTTTACCTAAGTCAATCTATCTTTACTGTGGTGCATGGCTAAGGAGTGGGCTAAATTCAAACATGTGACGTAAAAGCAGCAGGCTTGTGCAGAGCAATGATGGTGATGTGCCTGTCATCAACTCCCCACCAACTCCCTCCTTTGTCTCCCCCTAAACTACTGACTGCAGAGATGGGTGAGGAACCTTCCCAAACATTTTGTTGTTGTTTTTGTGCCACCGAATCACTGCTGACTCATGGTGACCCTGTGGATGAACTATCTCCAAAAGGTCATGTCCTCAACAGGCCTGCTCAGGAATTTAGGGAGTCAGTCCATCTCATATTTGGTCTTCCTCTTTTCCTGCTGCTTTCCGCTATTCCCAGTATTATTGTCTTTTCCAGAGAATCCTGCCTTCTCATGATGTACCCAAAATAGGACAGCCTCAGCTTCTGCAGCATTTTTGCCTCCAGAGATAGTTTAGGCTTGGTTTGACCCAGGACCCACTTGCTCATCTTTCCAGCAGTCCAGGGTATCTGCAAATCTCTCCTCCAGCAGCTCATTTCAAACTAATAGATTCCAAAAAGTTTCAGGTGGAGCACAATGGGAGGAGGGGATTAGCATCCACTTTGTTCTATACTGGATTGATGGCCAGAATCCAATTTGTTATGCCTTCTGGTGCAATACCACCAACATTTTCAGCAGCAAACTGTGACAAACTGAGTTGGAGTAGATATTTCCTAGTGCACACCATTCTTATGACTCAATGTGTGATAGGAAATGGCTTCCCGAACATATTAACCTGCAGCAATTCACTACTGAAGTATCACTATTGGCGTTATATCCCTAGAAATATACAGGAGGGTTCTGATCAATAAATGCTGCTATTTTGGTGAAATTCTCTAACTCTGTCTTGGCACTGATAGGCAAAATGGAGTCTTCTATTTAACACTTAATACTTTAAAAAGTATTGCTCCGTCAACAGTCATCTGGAACTGTAATGTCACTGCCTTGTTAAAAAAAACTGATCTCTGTGTTCAGAGTATTTATTGAATGTAAACTACCAACTCATTTGCAAAACCCTTGCCTTCAAGGGAATATGGGGAGCTACTTATACTGAGTTAGATCACTGGGTCCATTTCACCCAATATTGTCAACTCTGACTGGCAGCAGTTCTCCAGGACTTTTTTCTCAGCTCTACCTGGAGATTCCTGGTGTTCCACGGTGGTCTCCCATCCAAAAACGAACCAAGCCTAGCCCTGCTTAGCAGCTAAAATGGGAGTGTGTTTCTGGAGGTACAGTGTCACCTGCTTAGAAGTGTGTGCCTGAACTACAAATAGACACAGTCCTGCACCTGTGTTTGTCCGAGAAAAATTACAAAATCCTTCTTAGTGTAATAATATCACCAGACCAATTTACAGATCGGGGTGGGTTTTTGTGTGTGTGCCTTTTGAGTTGGCGTGGTGAAAGTACGACATTGACAAGTTATTTTGGAGTGCAAAAAACCCTGTGTAATCACATATTTCATGTGCTTAAAATTACAACCCTATCTAGAATCCATAAGCGGGACAGCTGCAATCAACCACGCATAGATTCTATTTTGGATAGGCTCCTGATAGGGCCTCTTTAAGTTCTTCAGGTCCAGACACAACATAATTGTCTTCATACCTCATACTGATAAAGGTGGAGGAGAGGCAAGGGGCTTTCAAGAATATCCTGGCACCTCCAACTTATATAAGATGGACAATTTGTGGCTCCACAGGAGCAGGATAATGGCTCTAGGTACTATTTTGTACGTATTTGCTGCCAACCTGGGAAAACGATGGAAGAGCTGAGTTTCCATTGCTCCCACTTTCTTTTGGCATACACTTAAGGTACCGCAGCACCCAGTGTGATAGGTCTTGCCGAGTTGTTCAGGTTGCAGAGTGTAAACCCTGTTCAGCATCTTCAGTCAGTCATGAAGTGGGAACAGGAGGGAGAGGGTCTGTGGTGTCTCTAGATTAAGAACACTTGAGCAACAAGAACAAGGTGGACTTGGTATAATACCAGTATTTTTACATGGGGCAGAATTCGTTCTGGGTCAGTCATATAAAGAGCAATCTACTAACATCATGCGATGTGTACTTTGCACTATGCTATACATTGTCCCTCCAGCTTCATAATTATTCCTGTAAGGAATCTGAATTATGTACATATTTTTCCAAGAAGAATGGCATATTTATGTTTATATTTATTGATATTTATATTTATCTCCCACTAAACAAATACTGCTTATCCTGGAATTTTTCCCAGAATATTGACCCAACTATGCAGTACTGTTCAAAGGCCAAGAATATTGACAGCAGAGAATTCTTCTGCAGTTTAAAATATAGTGTTCCTTTTATTACTTATTGTATTTACAAACTGCAGAGCACTTGAGAGATAAATAGATTGATGCTACTTTCCCCAGCTCTGAAATGCAGCCATTTCTCTAATGCTGTATGCTTTACCAAGGAACAAGACAGAGTTATGTAGCATCTTAAAACAGGGGGTGAAGAATAGCTATGATGGGTCCCCTTCATGAAAACTGGCAATTTATTCTTTCTCTCATGTTAGATTCTGAGAAAAAAAAATGGATAAACCATTTTGGAATTTTGTAATCTGACTTGCTGGCTGTCACTGCGTATGCAGAAAACCTCCAATATGAACCCATCAGGTTCATATTGGAGGTTTCTGCATACACACAAGGGGTTTGATATGGAGAAATATACAGCTGGTTCATGTATATGACAGCTAGCCTTATACTTCAGAACAAATACAAACACCCCCTGCCAAATATTTTCCATGAACTTTATCCTTCAGCTTCTTAACTCATTTGCAACAAAAACAGAAGCTACCTCTGCTCATATTCATACAAGGTCTTTCCCATCCTTTTCACCCTATCGTTCATCCACTAGCAGAAAGGAGCATAAATTCTTTGGCGGTGACCTATCCCTTTTGTTTATGTTACCCTATAAATCAAGGAGGGACGTGGGGGTGGGGGAATGATGGGCAGCACATAGGCTTTTGTGGCCAAAACTGTGCCTCTGCCACCCAACTCACAACAGCACAATGACATCTGAGTCACTGAATGTGGACAAAAGCAATATCAAACTGATTGAGACAAATTTAAACCACCCCTGCTGGTCAAATAATAAATCAATAAATAAATAAATAAATAAATAAATAAATAAATAAATAAATAAATAAATAAACAAACAAACAAACAAACAAACAAACAAATAATAATAATAATAATAATAATAATAATAATAATAATTTGCAGTTCAAAAAAACACAGTTCCACAACGGATTTCCCCACACTGAGCTTCATGTCATGTAATCACTGAGATTTAATTGAAATTCCTCAGTGCCCAACTGTGGGGTAAGTGACCAATGTAATCACTCCCTCAATGACCATTCCAGTGTCTGAAAGTATGCACTTTAGAAAGAGGAAAAGGTTTGATTTTTTATATACAAAGTTACAGAGGGACAAAAAGGAGGGTTCATTTTAAAACTGCAGAGCTGGAAAAGACCCTATAAATTATTGAGTCCGACCCCTGTCAAGGAGGCACAGTGGGGAACTGAACTCCCAATGTCATTTGAGTTATCCAGCAGAAAAGGAATAAACATCACTCAAGTAAAAAATTGAAAGCAATCTTGGAGATTTTGATCAATTTCCAGCATTATATCATAATGAGAGACAAAAGGGAAAAAAACCCTTGGAAGCTGGAAAATATGGCTGATCATGTTTGTTGTTTCTCACCATATAGATTGCTGCTGAATTTTGGAGGCAAGAACCCAGTTTGAAAACTGCAGATTTTTCTGAAAGTATCTCTCTAACTGAAACAGAAAAATGAACCTAAATAATTGATAGAGGTTTATGAAATATAAAATTTAAGTACTATTCCAAGAATGATTGGCCCCAATTTAAAAATGTTTTAGAATAAGTTAGATTAATATATAGGCTGAAATCATGTTGTTTAGCCAAAGAAAGTAACAACTAGACTTAGGTACATTTGGATCAATAGAACCTCTGGAGAAGTTGACTCACCAGATCCTCACTGATTCAATGGGCCTACTTTAGGACAACTTACTATGTAAGTAACAGAATTCAGCCATTGGCTCATCATATAAAAATCATATCATAATCCTTATTCTGTGATGTATTCTTTAATCCACAACGCATTTTAAATTAAAACTTTAAGTATGTAGGGCTTTTTAAAGGATAAAAATATCTTAGTAAAAATTGGAAACTTGATTTAAATGTAAAATGTTTAATATAAATTTGAGAATATTTATTTATTTATTTATTTAGCCATTGGCTCATCATATAAAAATCATATCATAATCCTTATTCTGTGATGTATTCTTTAATCCACAACGCATTTTAAATTAAAACTTTAAGTATGTAGGGCTTTTTAAAGGATAAAAATATCTTAGTAAAAATTGGAAACTTGATTTAAATGTAAAATGTTTAATATAAATTTGAGAATATTTATTTATTTATTTATTTAATTTATTTAAATGATTTATTTTTATCCACTCTGTTGCCAGCTGGCCTAATACCTTACAAAGCGCTCACTTTATACTGCTTTTTTCACGGCACAAAAGTGAGTATGAGTATCATGCCTGTCTACAGTATGTTTTGTTTGAGTGAAAGGAAAGAAGTATAATGTCAGTGTCAGAACATCGCGATTAAGAAGCAGGAATTGTTGGCACAGCTGGATGAGGATTTTTTAAAAAAACCTTGAAATCTTATTAGCTTGGATATTACATTTGATATTACATTATTTCACATTATGTGAGTGAACCAAGGTTGAACCATGTCCTTTTCCTGCTTCTAAACTCTAGACCAGGCTTATCCAACCTGCGGCCTGAGGGCCGCATGCGGCCCAGGTCAGCTCGTAATGCGGCCCAGTGCAATTAAAAAAAAAATTCCAAAGTTTCAAGTTACACTGCTGGCGCTTGCGGCCGGAATGTGGCCGGGGCATGTCACAACAGTAGAGGGGGAGAGAGGGAAGGAAGGAAGGAAGGAGTGGGAGGGGAGGGGACAGGGGGGCTGCGTGACTGCATTGTGCCGTCCCCATCAATAGGTGGACCCCCTCCTGGCCCCATAAAGCCACCGGAGTCGAAGCTGGCAGCCTCTGCTATCTGAGATCACAGCTGCCGGTAAGCACGCTTGGAGCAGGGGTGGAGAGGACGGCTAGGGCTGCCCCCCCATGCGGCCCAAACCAAATGTATGTGCGGCCCAAACCAAATTTTCATCTTCTAATGTGGCCCAGAGAAGGTGAAAGGTTGGACACCCCTGCTCTAGACATTCCCCTTACTTTGCAAATTTCAATAGCCCTTTAGTAATCTCTTCATATTTTCTATTGTTTTGAACAGTATTCTGAAATTCTGAATGAAGACATTTAAAAAACACCACACCTTTCTTCTTGAAAATGAAAGGCACCTTCTGTTAAAAGCTTGTATGGAGAAAATATACTCCCAGACTAACCATAAGCATTTTTCCTAAAAAGTAAGACCTGCTCTGTTCAATGGGACTACTATAAAAAGAATTCTTGTTTTTTTTTTAAATTAAGGATTCGAATTGTGGAAGGGGAGGGGGGAGAGGTGGCAGCACACTTGTAGTTCTTTAACATGGCTGGGCCTATAGATGCTTTCCTTCTACTGTAGTGAAGCCAAGCCTGCTCCACTACTAGGTAGACGAAAGGCAGCCTGTGTGAGGGACTACCAATGGCTAGCAATACCCTGGCTGGCCTTCCTCGGTGGCCCCCCCCAACTAATTGTCCTTTAGTGAAGCTCTGTGCCCCACATGGCTTGCTCCATGCCTCTTGAAGAAGCTTGCTGCTCCTAAAGCATGGCAGAGGATGATGCCCTGTCATCAGCACCAATGCCTGCATCTGCCAGTCTGGTGGGCTTGTGTGTGTGGAGTGGGAGAGCGCCACTGTATACTTTGACTCCAGAGACTAAATGGATCATCATGATTTCGGCCCTAACGAGCGCAAGTACTTAGTTTCTGCTTCAGGCAGCAAATCAGTTTGGGCCAGCGGTGGAAATATCCATCTAATTCAGCATTCTGTTCCCCATGCTGGCCGGCCAGCCAGATACTTCCAGGAAGATTTTAATCATGAAAGTATTGTAGTAGCCCTTCCTCGTTGTTGTGGCTCAAACAAAAGAAATCCGAAAGTTAAATGTAAGAGTAACGGATATTAGTCTTAAATATATACTGATATCTGTACCTGCAAGTAGCATATGGTCATTATTCATCAATGTGAATATGTAACACTGGTGGGCATTTCTGGCATGCCCCAACACTTTTTGACACAAATAGAAGGGGGAGTTTCCATTTATTATATTTCATTTCTAAATTGTACATCTAAAATATTTTTTAACAAAACACTTGAAAATTCAAGCTGTGAAATAAAAAGTAGGGAAGCACAAGGTGGTGAATGTATTTTTCATGGCAAACCGCAGTTGCCCATTGTGTAATATGTTGCCAGAAAAGGCAAGAGTCCCCCCCCCCCTTTGGAAAGAATGAGCCTAATTACAACATGCCATCTAGGTTAGCGCAAACTCTGTAGCTCTCCTGCCTGCCAAGGAAAAGCCATTTCAAGGTGGAGCAGAAGAGTGGTGGTAGAGGAAAGGCCGTTCAATTTTTCTACTCCCATAACTTCTCCAAACCCAACTATCTACAGCTTTCCCCCTTGTCAGCGTGGTTCAAAGAGGTATTTTCTCCCCCAAGCACATGTCTAGAAATTGATCGTGCTACAAAAAGAGAGAGGATTATTTTGCCAAGAAGCAACAAGCAGATGAAGAGATATATGTATCACCACTTCACCACCACCACCATCACCGCTATTTGCTTATTGCCTTTTTTCACAACAACCGCTCCTTATTGTCTGCAATGCCCCTAAAGAGGTTAACTTTTTAAAGCACACATTAAAACTCTAAAGTGTCTGGAAATCTCCGCTGGCTCAAAATGCTGCCGCTAGGCTGCTGACTAGCATTGGTTACAAGGAGAATGTGGCTCCCTTGTTACAACAACATCACTGGCTGCCAGTCTGTTTCCAGGCTCAATTCAAGGTGCTGGTTATCCATAAATGTAGCTTGGGTCCAGGCCATTTGAAGAGGCTCTTAAGATTTTCCAGGGAGGCTCTTCTCTCGGTTCCACCACATTCCCAAGTTTATTTGGTGAGGACACGAGAGACGGCCTTCTCACTGGCTGCTCCCAGGCATTCAAATGCACTGCGCCCAGAAGCCGGGTTGGCCTCTTCCTCTGGTCCTTCCATCATCAGGTAGACTCCTGAGCAATAAGTGTGTAAGGAATGGTCTATATATTTTTTGAAATTTAGATACTTTAAAATGTTTTCAAATTTGTTTTTAATCTTGACCAGTGTTTAATTGCTTTTGATATATAGTTTTGTATGGCATTTTAAACTTCTTGTGAATTGTTGTGAGCTGCCTTGCGGGGAGAAAGGTGACATATGCATAAATAAAATAAAATAAAGGAAATTAATTGCTCGTTCTCTCATGCCAAGTAGTTGTGGCCACCAAAACTAAAAACTACACACCCCTGAATAATTTTGGGAATTAAACGAGATTAAGTAAAGTACACCTGAAGTTACTACTTACAAAAGCAACCACAGCAATCTATCAAAGCCAACAGACAACTAGCAACGCCTGATCTGAAGCCTATAGGAGCAGATTCATACATATGTACGTAAATGGTATCATCTGGAGCAAATGTTTTGTACCTGACTGTGATTTTTGATGAGGTGAATTCTTTTCTCCAGAGGAGCCATCATAGACACCTGTGTTTGGCGCCTGAAACATATAGCTATCATTTGGTAAAGAATGGGTACGACCTACAGAAGTCTTCCTTACGCTCAGATGATCCTGACTTGGTGAGAAAATCAGTGAGTCATTCCTAGAGGGAATGTTGGTCTGAAAAATAAAAAGAGAGAGAGAAAGCCCATCACAAAACTGGAAAATATGCCGCTCTCTGGAATGAGTATTGACAGCCACTCCGACAGACAATGAGCATGCAAGTTATTTGGAGGTACAAATTCTATTGAAACCGAATGGACTTTGCACAGATGGATTGACCAAGATTTAATAGCCCTAATTTTATACCGTTAATAAATCACCACAGAAAAGCACATACACGGAATGAACCACATTTAACAGGAACAAAACATAATACAGTACTGTACAGTGAAACATGGAAACAACACTGCAATTGTAAACCATGACTGTTTCAGGATAAACTCAACAAACATCATGCCTCAAGGTCTGGTTAAGAAATTGCATGCTTTGCAAAACTTTGGTCATTGAAAAGAGCAATTGAGAAATTCCCCACCCCCACCCCAAAGCAAGTGGGTCTTTGTACACAATCCGAGTTAATTTAATTAACAAGTAGGAATGTATCTGCGTTTAATAGAACTACATTGATGATTATTTTTGTGTTTTGTTTTAAAACAGGGCACTTAAAAAGGTGGAACTGGAAAGGAACTTTGATGATATCTTTTCAACAACAATAAAGAATTTTTTTAAAAAAAGATTAAGTTATATATGATAGAAATGGACTGTGGCAATACAATTGTTCATTTCCAACCCCATTCTGCTTTACATAGTAGTTGAAGAAATATATACACCAAGACATCTTTTGCATTTCAGTACAGATCTAAGGATTTTCTAATATAGTTTGCTGATGATAAAATAAAATATAATGAGCATGCATGGTACAGCATGTTTAAATGGAGTAGAATGCATCTTAAAAGAAAAAGAAGCATATTACTGCTGTAGTGCTATCCAGTCTTGTATGACATCTCTGCCACGTAAAATGAATTTTACTCTTCTTGATTACGGAGATTTAATATGAGATTAATCTTTCTCTTGTAATTCAGATAAACAGGTCAGTTCTTTTCCACACTATTACCACATGCTGCTTTTCAGAATCTCTGGAGCAGCTGATACTGTAATCCAGCTGCAGTCATCTGAGCAAATTTAGTACTTTATTAAATGAAATATTTGCTGTGATATATTCCCTTTCACTGTAAAAACAGCTTCACTCTCGGAAACCTTCAACAAACCTATCTGAAATAAATGGAAATTCTTTGACAAGTTGTTATGCATAGAAGTTTATGGTGTTTCTTAATACAGTAGGAAACCTGTATCCACAGGATCAGGATCCACTGATTCATTTATTCACAGTGTGAAAAAAGTAAAAATATGCAAAGAAAAACCCTAGAAATATATGTATTTGTAAAGATTAAGTTACCAGATATGGCCATTAGCGGGAGCCAGAGACCATGTTATGTATAGCATTAAAATAGTGTTTGCTGTAATCTGTGTTTTTCTGCATCTGTGGGGGGGGGCTTGGAACTGATCCCTTGCCGATACAGGGGCCCTACTGTACCTGATTTCCCTTCACTATTGCGGGTATTACTTTTACAAAGGCATTTTTGCCTTTTATAAAACTGTATTTGAGGCTGGGCTTGCAGTTTTTGAAAACATGTACATATGGAATGCTACGTGTTGCTAAAGATGTCACTAACCATGGCTGGGTTGTGCCAAATTAACAAAAAAAATAAATAAAATAAAAATTAAAAAAAGGCAGAAGAGCGAAATACCCACCAGATATTTCTGTGAAATAACTGACGATAAAGAACTGAGTAAAGAAGTGATCATGAAATATTTAGGTGGAGAGTGGAAAATCAGTCAACATGACCAATGGCATTACAGTACTAAGTAAAATAAACAGATTGAAAATTGCCGATAAGACTGGAGAAAAAGCAACAGGATCATGGCTGAAATGAATGGCACAGCAAAATATTTGTCCAACAACCATTCATAGTATTTAGGGGACACAGATGTCAGGTTAATTACTCACTTTATGAGCCTGCAGCTTTAATGCTAAAAAGCTGTACTGGCAGTGGAAGAAAAATGGGAGCAAGATATGAAAGTGGAAGATGGTTTCACAAACTTCCTACCCCAATACTTGCTAGTACAATTCTTGTGAAACTCAGGCAGTTTCCTAAGCAGAAACAAAACCTATTTCATTTTTCATTTCAGATAAACCTGAAGAAAATTCTGAAACAACACAGAATTATCAATTTATATTTTGCTGAATTTCTGAATATCCTGAAAAAAAATATGAAATGCCACAAAATAATAAGAGTTTAAATAGCATTTTGGGGGGGGGGGAGTGGACATTTTCAAGTACATTATGGTGTTAAAAGCTGAAGAGTGTCATTTAACTTGTTAATTCATCGGAATATGCACACTTCAACTTTATTATTGAAATTAATTTACTATCTTACGTATTTGAAATAACAGGAAATGAGATGCTTTTAATCTTCCCATCAAATGAGTTGACTAACTTGTGACTGGTAGGACTGCTAGCGTTTGCCAGATCAGAAATCTACATTAAGGTTTATCTTGATGAAAATCAGAATTGCCCCCTCAAAACTTTTTCTCTCATTTTGTAACAAAATGGCCCATTAAAAACATCCACTGTAGCATTTTGCATCTTTTGTGTAAGATGCCATGAAGCATGATGGGGAATCCTGTCACGGTTTAAACAAGATGTGTCCCACATGAGTCATAACTATGATGGCATTCTACTGGAATGGCAGGAAACCAATCAACACAACACACAGCTGAAGGCAGGTATGTGAAAACAAGAATGGATCCACTACATGTTGTGGGGGGAATGCTATGTCTGATTTACAGCAAAAACAAAGCACTTCATGGCTACACATCAGCTATAAATGTCTAATGTTTCAGGAAGAGATGGTTAAAGCAGGGCTCAAAATACTGGCGCAGGTTTTGTATATTTTAAAAAATTGCCATTTTTCCTTCTAAAATATCTTTGGGAAAATGGTGGCCCAATAAAGGTTCAACAAAAGCAGCATTGTCCATGATTCAGGTCTGACAGCTTAGGTTCAAAAATGGTAACAGGGGTTCCCTGTTAACCATTAGGAGTCTTTTTATAATAGATCATTCAAATAAGTGGGATCCTTTGTGCTGTGGCATTTTCCTTGTGTTCATACACAATGCATTTGCTTCTGATATTGCCTGCTAAGGCTAGATTAGCTTTGCAGAAAGAATGGAGTTCCATGCAGTCACTTATCGACTTGTATGTAGGGCTAAGATGATAAGGGGTATGTGGGTCTGCTTGTAAAACCGACTCCCTGAATGTTTCCACATACTCAGAAGTGGGTACTCCTGTATGGAGTGTGAACCTCTGTATGGGGCTTTGTAACTATGTCCATCTGAACATGGTTACAAAGCCATTGGGGTCAGAAGCTGGGGTTTATCAGGGCCCAGCCTTACTATGTTGTTTGTGTGTGGTGACATTTGGGGAATGGACTTGCATACACACCCAAGGCCTCACCACCTATTTTAGCCCTACACACAAGTTACGAATGCCTGAATAGAGACTGTTTTAGTAAACGTGTGAAATAAACAGAATAAAAGAATAAAAAACATTTTAAGGATAACATCGAGGACAACAGAATGGTAGTATTTCCTTATGTGCTGCTTAGAGATAAAATATTGCTTTTCTGAAAATGCCATAGCTTTCACCCACTGCAAAACAGTATTTAGAACCCTGTAAACATCAGAATATACAGTGACCAGTGTATATACATTGCTCTCCAGGGCATTAAGTAAGAGTATGTTATTATCATCAGGAAAAGAGTCATCCGTCAGAGCTAAGGACCAGGAATTTTCAGAGAGAATGTCTGACGTCAGAGATAGAGCCTCCATCTCAGCTAGAGGGATCTAAACAAGGGAGAAATGATCAAACATAAGAAACCAGGACACATGTAAATGCCTTTGAGAAAGAAATAAAGAAAGCAAGAAAGCTATCATCATCATCATCGTTATTATCATCTGAATAATGGAGTTCTTCTCCTTCTAATAAGCGCATTGGTGTAGTGCACATTATTATGTGGATGAAGCTATCAGAAAAACAGAGCTCAATCTTTCTCTCTCCCTCTCCCTCTTTTAATTATCATAAAGAGGCTTACAAACAATGCAAGATGGAAATCACCCACTGTATATTAAAGGTGCATTGATTAATATAATCTTTTGAGGGACCAACTTGAGATGTTAAAGCATCAACAGCTCCAGAATTAATTTTTAAAGCCTACTCTAATTACATTTAAATGTTACATGCTTCCAGAAATAATAATAACAACAACATCATCTTAGAACTACAGAGCTGGAAGGGACCTTATGGATCATCAAGTCCAGCCTCTGTAAAGGAGGCACAGCTCCCAACCTCTTGTTCCCCTAACCACTGGGCTATTGTGAGGGAATTCATCTATATCAAGACACAGCCAATGTCCCTACATGTCACAGGCAACAGCCCTAAACAGGTGACACACAGCGTCTGGCTCTGAGAGTTCTCTGAACCAGGCAGGTTTTTTTAAAGCAGTTTTTTCTTGACAACAGCAGCAACTCTGCAGAGGTTTTTTTTTCCGGCATTCGGAGATGGTGGCAAGTTTGCCTCCCCTGGTGGATTGTCTCCTGAGACAACAACCTCATTTTGTCCAACGGCAGAGCCAGCCGTGCTTCAAATAAATCCTGTCCTAAAGACCAATGACAGAACAAAGGAATCTCTTCTGCAAATTATTCGAGGTGAGCGAAGTTCTTGATATGCACTCAGACTCAGAAGTCAAAGAACTCCCCTTTCCAAGGACAGATTATCTATAATGTCTGTTGATGCCTTTGAAATGTCAACTCTAGGTCATCAACACAACATTCCTTTGCATGCATGCTCAGAAATACTGAATTAAATGGGACTTCTTGCCAGATTAAGTAGGCACTACCTTGCAGACGGAAAGGCCAATATTTCATTGAGCTTCTACTGAGCAGGAACGTCCATTGACATAGTAACATGGGATTATGTCACTTGTGCAAACATAGCCATTGTG